GCCTTTGGTTTCAAAAAATGAAAACATTACACTGAAGTGCATTAAAAATGCAGTTTATTTCCAAGCCCTACGCACTGTGTAGGGTGCAGCTCTCTTAAGGAGGAGTGCATACAGTAAGCATTATTTCTTCTGAATGGAATGCCCTGAGGAGCAGAAGGAGCCAGGGTGTATTCCAAACACACTAATAGTTCCCTGCAAAGAGGAATACACCGGGAAATTCATATTTTAAGGGAGATTCCAAACCACAGGGAGTGTAAATGTTCTGTTCCAAAGAAACCTCAAACTGCAAAGAGAAAAACCGAGCTACAGGTTATCATTTCTCAGAAATGAGCCGTCAGTCCTGCATGCCTGTTTGAAAATGACACTGTAGGACCTTCTGAATGAAGGGATTTAATCAGCTGAAGTTAACTTAACTGGCATCGTGTGATCGGTGAATTCCAGCTGATTAATTTGGGAAGTACTGCCTGGGGACCCTGTAGAATGGAATGCAGGCCTAGACTTTATCCCGCAGGCCTCATTCTTGATTCTGAGGCCCTGTTCACACTTGGTATTAACATCTGTTTTGAATGATCTTATCATAAGTGGACAGCGAGACAGCAGCTTCTCTCGCTGCAGTTGTAGTCAGACACAAATGTCTTGTAAGTGTTGCACAGGCTGTTAACACAACTTAAATCCATACAGTCATATGCAAAAGTATGAAAACTCCTGGTCAAATTAATGTTTTGTTGATTTTCTAAGTGAAAATAAGTTAACACATCCTCTATGACAGGGGTCAGCAACATGCAGCTATTTTACTGTCCTGTTGTGGCTCCACAGCAGAATTAGATTTTAAGGTAAAAATAAAATAATCCTCCTTTGCGGTAAAATAAAGCTCTGCTGGTCGTTCAACACAGTTTTTACAATAAATGGAGTTAACACTGGACTTAATGTAGAACTGCTAATTCACCCTTTAACCCTGAAGGTTGGCATACCGACTACAGGTCACCATAGCAACAAAGACAACAGTCTCGCAGAGCTAGTAGCTAACGAAAAGGTAAAGATAAAGATTTAAGACGAACATCGATAATTTGGATACGAATGGACTTATTTGCATTTATAATCACTCAATTGGCTTCCTGATACGTTTACTCTGCATCGAGACTGTCAAACACTAAAAAGTCACCAAGTTGAAGTTGCTTCTCATTCACCAGCTTCTCTTTCGAATTTTCCCGTTTCACCTTAAATGGTGCAGCAGTTACATTCTGGTGCCTCAGGCGCCATTTAAGGTGGAATGAGAAAATTCGAAAGAGAAGCTGGCGAATGAGAAGCGACTTCAGCCTCGAAAAAGTTGAACGTTGAGGGGCAAGAAGCTAAGCAACTATATCTGAGTTAAAGCTTAAAGCAGAGCAAAGTGAGTCTGTTTTCGTTTATATTTAGTCTATACTAGGACATTAGCTAGAACATATTAAGACATATTTTCAGCCAAAATGGTAAAACGTTACTTCAACAAAATGGACATAAAGTGTTGTGGCTCCCAAGGTGCTTTGATTTTTGTTGAAAGGACAAAATGGCTCTTCTCAACGTTTGGGTTGTTGACCCCTGCTCTCTGACATATTTCTACAAATTATAGCGCACAGGTTCTATCACATATTGAAAAAAAAATAAAACATAAAATATAAAATGTGCTAAAATCTTTGTACAGACCACATTTTATGTATCATTTTTTCACAACATGTTAAATTCTGCAAATAAACAATAATTGTGTATTAAAATACAGAAGTGCAGAAGTGTGTTCTCTGTAGAGGTTGTGTTCACTTACTTTTACTTAGAAAATCAACAAAACGTAATTTGACCAGGGGCGCCCAAACTTCTGCATACGACTGTACATGTTAAATTGTGATGAATTTCACATCTGAACTCAATGTTTGTTTAAAATGGATGTTTAGATTAGTGCATTGGCAGCTTTTTGATGAGCTCTTAATGCTTAATATGCCACAGTGCACTTGTGTAAAAGTTATATACATTTATAAAGGGATTTAAAACACCAGCCTGATCATAAAATAACTTCTATTTCCTCGCCCCTTTTAGTTTAGGTCAGACAGCAGTGCCAGCAGATCAGTCCGACTTCACAACACCCAGTTATGTTAGCTTAAATGTCATAGTGTGTAATGCTTTAAGGTAGTGTTTCTCATTCCTGGTCCAGGAAGCCCACTTCCCTGCACACTTTAGTATTTTCCTTGTTTCATCTCAGTAAGGGGTTGTTAATGAGCTGATTTGTTGGATTAGGTGTGTTGGGAGCAGAAAAAAACACTAAAATGTGCAGGGCAGGGGGCCTTCAGGAGCAGGATTGAGGAACACTGCTGTAAGGTACGTCGCTATCATTATGTATTTGCTATGCAATAAATTTAAGTCATAACGAAACGTATGCATTATAGAAGCAATGTAGCTTGATACTAATATCAAGACAATATGCTTTGATAGTCTTGGTTTATTGAAAACCAAGTTTTAAAGTAATCTTATATCCAAGTTGGGCCAAAACGTTCCTGGCAAGCTACCTGCTATCATCACACAGTGTTTATGCATGGGCTGGCTTTTAGTGTGTGTCTTTGCAGTATGTATATGTTTTTCCCAGCATACCAAAAAGGGAGCGAAACAAGATCTCAGCCACCTAGCCAGCGTGCTATACTTTGGCGAACGCTTGTGTGTGACACCTGTACACGAGAATGTAACTGGTACAGCATTTTAGTTGGAGTGGAAAATTGGAATAAAAAACTGGCAAAGAAGAAGCTATTTTGAGATTGGTCGAAGTTATCACAGACACTCTCAGTCAAACAAATTACCTCCTTAATCTGCTGTCTTACATCAATTCGAATTCTGACTCCTGCCAGAAAATAAAAGCTTGAAAAGAAATGGAAATAAAGGAAAACGGCCTGTTGTAGCAGGTTGTTTACGCTGCCATAGTTGCAGTCTGAAATGCACACTGATCAGGCAGAGGAGTGCAGTTTTAATGGCTTTTATCTCCATTTGAAATTTTTTCAAATCTGGTTAGTGATCAAGTCACGTATCTTTCCGATTATTGAGAATGTTTTAATATTTACAGTTGAGTTGAGAGCCCCATCTACAAGCTGGCTGCAAAAAGCAGATGGAAAAGATGAAGGTAGAGTGCAGAGTTTTCTCTGTCTGAATAATAATAATAATCATAAAAGCCCATTTTACTGAAGTATGATTTGTTGTATAAAGAATTTAAATAATATTACACTGTCACTGTAATTACATAATAAGACATTTATAAGGATTAGGTCTAGTCTTGTGTCTTGCAACAAAAATAGCCTCAATATAAATTTCCTTTGTGTAATTAAAATCAGCGTACAGCATCACACAATATTAGAATAACTTTGTCTAATGCTTAAAAAATCCTGGAATCATGCTAAATCTTCCCCCACAAAACGCCTCTTTGAAACACTTCAGCTCTGGCCTTTGTCAAAGTCTGTGCGCTCCACTGGACGAGTGCAGCTTCCTATTTTCTGCTTGCTCAGCTTAGTTTTGTAAGGACCTCTGCAGTTTTGCACTGCAGATTTATTCAGTTGTAAATCTTAAGACTTGTTATTCATAAACCTCTATGAATTATACATTAACCAACTTTATTTACCTCTATATAACTAATATGTAGGTCATGTAGTTACCAGAGTGAGGAATTGAGGTCCTGGCAGTTTAAGGGGTTAATAAAATCCATCACAAGTCTTCTGTGGTCACTTTGGACTGCACTGTTCCTGCCATACATTCACCTCATGTTATGGATGCTCTTCTGTGCCACTATGACATTTCTTTTGCAGTGAATCACCAAATAAGTGGAGTATTTAGGCCACTCTGTTGTGCAAGTACCTGCCCTTTATTGGGAGCCCTGAGTTAGATTATACATGAAGTAAAAAGTCATAGACATTGGTCACTAATTGCTTTTGCATCAGCAGGTATGTCTGGGCTACTGAGGCTCTTTTAAGTAAACAGGCACAATGTTCAACAAAGTTGCTGGACAACCTATTACATCTACAAAACACCATTTCTTCTTGAGCTAAAGTGCTCGTTGAATATGCAAAGAGTAAAGGCCAGTGAGACTTGTTTAACCCATTAATCCACATCCTAAGGCCTGTTACTGAGTGACTATATTGAAAACAATGCTTAGTCACTGAGTTATGGTTACAGGATTGCGTAATAAAAACCTCCCACAAGGGGTTAATTCACTCATAAAGCAGGTCCCAAACCTGGATGGTTTTCAGATGGTATTGCCCTGAGATCTCTTTGCTTTTGGCATCATGCAAGATATCCATTGAATTTACACCACTGATAGTGTTTCCAAATAAATGATTACATAAACACAATTTTTGATTACATCCAACACAAATTTTCTTTCAGTTTCCTTACATTTGGTAATAACTGTGTTGATGTGTAAACAGAGTCGACTAAAATAACAACCACGTGGATCCAGCCTTGCAGAAGAGCTACAGTTATTACATCACTTCCTATGTGGTATATCTGTAACCTCCCATGAGCAACATTAACGGCCCATAACGTGCAAAAATGAACTTCCTTCCATTTTTTCTCATGTACATATCAGTCTTAAAGGCACAGTAACAAAAATGGTCTGTTTAATTCTATGGAGAGAAAGAGATGTTGGTAAACGATCATGTAAATGTAAATAATGTAAATTGGTACATAAAACAACAGAACTGTTATAATTGCCTGCTGCCCTTTATATTGTGTGTAATTTTCATGATGAATGAACCGAAGGAAATGGCCCACAATTACTTGGAAAAAAGTCTGGTTCCATTGACTTACATTAAAAGTAAAGTAGTTTTTTTCCTTCTCCTGTAAATTTACCATTTTGGAGTTTTTTATAAAGCACTTTAAAGTGAGAAGTGTAAAAAGATGAAAAGACAAGTTGGTTTTATATCACAATATTGAATTTTAGCAATATCAGCAGCCCCAAAACCCCCCTCCCCGTCCCACACACCCTGACCACTCACCCTGTTGTTCTTGTCCGTCTCCCTGACCTCGTCCTCCGTGACGCCCCGCCGTATCATGAACTTCACCGTGAGCGCCTGGTTGCTGCAGCATGCCTGGAAGAAGCTCAGCGGCGCCGTCTCGCTTTCCACAGACGGGCTCCTCTCCGAGTCGTCAAAGTCTTCCGGCGGATAAAAGGAGTCATCTGAGGTGATGCTCCTGGTGTCGGGCAGCTGGGAGAACTCGTCGTACTCTTCATAGTCCCCCTCTTCATCATCCTCGATATTGCAAGAACCGAGGTATTCATCGTGATTGTCATCGGTGCTATCGGCCGGCTCTTCAGGTATGGAGGGCTGCACGCGGGCTGAAGCAGCTCCAGCGCGGTGGACGAGCTGAGCTTTGGCCATAGAGGAGCCTCCACCATTCCTACTATCCGGTGTCACCAACATTTAACCCCCTAGGTCAAAATCTTCAGGGAAGGATTGCGACTCATGAGGCTGCACGATGACTCGGACGCCTTTAATAACGTTAAGAACCGTTAAAGTCATACAGATAGAGAAGGTGGAGAAGATAAGTGAGCAGAAAAGGCTGCTTCTTTGCTCAGAACTCTGATGGGTGCTTGGTAAGGATTAATGTCCCATGAACAGAGGTGGGTAGAGTGAATCAACACTCAAGCAAAAGTGTTGATAATTTGGTAAAATAATGATTTAGTCAGAAGTTTCCAGCGTAGAAGTTGTAGCAGTGCAAAAGTAGCAGGTCAAAAAACACTAGTAGTGAGAAGAACTGGAGTGGAGCTTCTTAGAACATCTAAAATGTATTAGGAGAACTAAAATTTGGAGATGTTCTGTTGTTTTTGGGGTCTAAAAAAAGGGATAAACCTTAAAAGTCAGTGGTGTGACCAACTGCAAAGCAATACAGGTGCTGTCACCAGTGTAACAGGGTAATGAGTAAGAAGTAGACTGAGTAGGAGTGATGAGTATTAGCACTTGAAAGGAAAGCACAAATCAAAATCTGACTTATATAACGGAGGAAATGGAACTAGTTACCCACCTCTGCCCATTAATTAGTAACATTTTGAATATCTCCCAATAAATATGAACCGTCTAAGCCGAGATCGCTGGTTATCTCCATCCTGTCGATCTTCTCACATCTCCATGTGGTGTGATCTCTTCTTGGCAGTGCTGTAGGAAGTACCATGCGCGAATGAGACACGAAAACAGAAAGAGAAATCCCCCAAAAAGTGACTGGCGAGCAGTTCCAGAGTAAAAATAATCGTCCACCAGCAGGACTGAAAGCAAAAGTGCTGCTGCTGCTCCACTGTAGCTAGAAACAGCAGTTTGGGCCACTGTGCTGAAGCTCCATAATCCGATTAGATGCTCTCTCCTCCTCCTCCTCCTCCTCCACCTCCCGCTGTCCGACTCCCTCCCTCGTTCAGTCGCTCTGTTTTCATGTCTCTCTGGGATTAGAGCGTCCAGGGCATGTCCACGTTCAACAGCTGGTTGTCGTAGTTGTCCAGAACAGCAGCGATCGCCTCTGTTTTCTCCGTAATTCCTCTGAAATGAGCGCAGTTTCTGAGCAAAACCGTCAGCACGAAGTCAGTCAACTGTACCGCGCTGCTCTCTGAGCGCGATTTCAGTTTCGTTTTTATCTTTTTGGGTTTTTTGTCTTCTCTTGAGCCGATCAGGGCTGGGTATACCCCTCACGAGCGGGAATCCCCCCGCGCCACACCCCTCAGAGTAGATCTGACGTTCCAAAACCAACATGAGTAAACTTCACTCTTCACACTTTTTTTTTTTGAAAAATTGGTGGAGATCCCCTTTAGGCATCTCTGAGTGGTTATTAACTTTTCTTCACCCTTCGCGTGAAGATTAATTGTAGCTGCTCATGTACGACTGTTCATAAGCATCCATAATGCTCAAAGGAGAACTCCACCAACTTTTTTTTAAATTCTACATGATCAGATGGTTGAACAAAGTCATCCAGAGCGGTTTGGTGTGAAATCCAGTGGTGGTGATAGGAACCAGACGTCTGAAGAGTTTAATGAGCTCTCTCGCAGAAAGTTATTCCATGAAATGGTAATAATGTCTGACACATAGTTTTATGACAGTTTTGTGATGTTATATTAATGCATGCAGGGCTTTGTGAGGCAAAATAGTACTTGTTTTTTCAGATTTATGACTTTTTTTACTGGCATCGACATTACATTTAAAAACTTAAAATTTAAAAGACATTTGTAGGTTCACTGTTTTGGGTAGTAAATAAAATGGCTATATTTGTGTTGTAGACATGGCGACCCCTGGTTACTATCACCACCACTGTAAAGAAATCAGAGTCTGTAAGTTTCTCTACAGTGAAACATTTCACATTGAACCACGCTGAATGTCTGTTTACATCCTAAAGAATGAATTATTCAGAAATTTTGAAAAATAGGTGGAATTCCCCTTTAAGTTGTATAATAAGCAGCGTTCTAGCGTGAATGTTTTTAGTAAAAGGGGCATTCCACTGATTATCTAACATATCTACATAATTCAGTTGTTAAGTTGCAAACATATTCATTCAGAGTGGTTTGGTGTGAAATGGTTTATTGTAGAGAAACACCTGGATTTCTTTACAGAGGTGGTGAAAGGAACCAGGGGTCACAGTGTCCACAAAGCATTATTTACACTCAAATAGCCAACACATTTGTTGGACTTACAAACTGAAAATGTGTTGACATTAAATACATTACTTGTGGTATCTTTAAGTAACTTTTTTACATAACAATGTGAACAATCCTGACTGTAAGTCTCTCTAGAACAGAAGATTTCACACCAAACCACTCTGACTGACTTTGTTTACATCTTAACCAATTAATTATCTGGGCATTTTAAAGTGGAGGAGCTCAACTTTAATCTGTTCCAACTAATTAATCCCTTTAAAAGACCTGGATGGAGCAGAACTGTGCTGGTAGATCTCCAGAGAAGATCACTGAGCTGGAACACAGGACACAGGCAGCAAAATATGGATTTACCTTCAGATGGATGCCATAGCATAATGACACAATCAGTGTGGGAACGTTCACTAACAACCAAGCTGAGATTTGCTCTATTATTATTCTCAGGGCTGACCCCAGCCTTTTAGGGGCCCTAAGCAGGATTTCTGAGGGCCTCCATCTTGCTAGCTGATGTATTAGAAAATAGAATCTAATAATAATGACCAATGCAAGCGGTCTAATTGACACTCATAAAAAAGATGGCTCTTCAAGGGTTCTACATAGTCCGCCATCCAACAACATCCAAAAACACTACCAACTTCTCTGGGCTTGAGATAATCCGAAGTATCTGAAGTAATCTGAAGTATAGTGGTCTGTTTATGGAAATAACTGATGTTGTGTTCTCTGGGCCAAAGAAGAAAAGGACCATCCAAATTGTTACCAGCATAAAGTTCAAAAGTCAGCGTCTGTCATGGTACGAGGGTGTGGTGATTTTAAGAGTGCACCATTTAGTCCTTCAGGAAACCTGTATGAATGGTTTCATGTACACTGTCATGAAAGTGCCAAAGCCATTTGGATTAGTGAAATTGAAATAGTGCTATTCAAAGCAAGACACAAATTCAAATTACTCCCAACTGCCAAAGACACACACTGTAGACACAATAGTAAGTAAATGTTAAACAGTTAGGCTACATGTCTTTTGCTGCTCTGTTTGTGTCAGCAGTATTCATTACGTTAGCTTAAGTGGATCAGTGCTTGAGGTTTCAGTAGAATGTAATTATGTCTAATTATATGCCCATAGTTTAATGCAGTTATGTAATTATACAGCCCATATTTTCCTGACACAAGATGGCATGTGCTGAAGAGGAAATAAGTAGTGCAAAGAAGAAAGAAAATAAATGTGTTAAATCTCCCTGTAAAAGCTAACAACAACTGTAACAAGGTGTATGTGCTCTATTAATGTGTCTATTTACTTATTTATTTATTTGAGAATTTTCATTTAAACAGATGTATATTAACCTACAGTACCTCTCGTTGCTTGTCTTTGCAATCAGAATAATAAGTTCAATATATATTTATATCTTTCATATATTTTTCTTAAATCAGCTGGTGTCTCCTGTTCCTGTAAATGCTGGTTCCTCACACAGCGTGCACACACTTCAATTTCCTCACAGCTCAGAGGTAAAAGCTGTAATTGCTGTGTGTAATTAGTGAGGCATTTTGCTCTGAACAGCTGGAGCTCGGACAGGCTCCCTCCAGTCTACAGCTGAAGTTTATCACTCCTGCATGGCACATACTGCGTCGTCTTCAAGTGACAAAGTATCAAAGATAGCTCAGTATCTATAAACAGAGCATCTGTGTTGCCAAATTAAATTATAATAGAAATTGAAAGGCAGGAAAAGCCATGAAAGAGACCTACTGTAGCATACTTTTGGAGTATCACCCTGTTCTAATAGTTATGTACCGCTGTCATGGGCAAACCTCTACTTTTTAACAGTATTTGAAAATACCAGCTCTTTACATTGTGTGAACATTACATGATGAATGGAGCAATAAAAATGATCCAAATTACTTGGAATATAATCTTGCATTAGCATACATTAAAGTTAAGAACAATTTTGCTCTCATATAAAGTTATCATTCCAGAGATATGAGATTGTCTTATGAATAAGAGACTTAAATAATTATTTTATGAATTATATAAGCAATATCATGAAGTAATGATGATGGTGATGACAACGAAAGTCAGAGTGCTTACTGTCTAGTTTATTAGAACTTCCACTAACTGGCTACTTCATGAGGTCCAATTAACTTATAGGCCCACTATAAACAGTACTGTCCAAAATCAGAGACCACCCTTCATTTAATTAACGGACAAAAAAATACAATAAATAGAATAATAATAAATGGCCAATGTGAAAGAAGCTAAAGAGATGTGTGAATATTGGTACAATATTATAGAACCATATGAACATCTGCAATAATTTAACATTTGTACCATTGTGCAAATAAGCATTATGCTGCAGAAGGCTTTATATTGCAATACAATAGTGGAGGTTTGTTAGGTTCAGTTTAAATTTCAAATTTAATAAATAATAAATAAATTTCAAAATTAAAGTTCAAATTTGAAATTTTCATAGGTTCAAATTAAATTTAAAGTCCTCTTAACTTCTGTGCACCAACTGCCACTTTAGCTCTTCCTTCCTTCCAATCTTGAAACTAATCAATTACAGCTGTGTCCTCTTCTGAGATGTAGCGTCAGCTTTTATGGACTGATGAGTCAAAGTTTGTAATGGAGATTACTTGGATCGTAAAAAGCAGGAAATGCACTTAACGTCTCAGACTGAACTTTGAAGGTGTGGAGATATATTCCTGCAGAAGCTATAATCAAAGCAAATGGTAGGCACATTAAATACTGAAAAATTTTAGATTATGTTTAGTTGTTGAGGCTTATGCATAGTTTTCTGTTAAATATATCATCACTGTCCAAAGAAAAACAAGTATCTCTAAAATGGTAACTTCACAGGAGAAAGCAAAACCATTCTTTACTTTCAATGCAAGTTAATGTAAAGAGATTTTATTCCAAGCAATTTTTAAGCATTTC